CAAGCTGGTCAACAAGCAGTCCATGCTAGTTAATCATGTACACTTGCCAACTAAAAATGTCTATTTCCTCATTTGCTACCTTGAGGATATCACATACTTACCAATATATTCCTTTAAAACAGAGTCAATGATTACTATAAAAATGTTATAGATCTCAATCTGGTTATAAGCAATAAAACCATATTCATGCAAATAGGCAAGACTGTGAAAGTATAATTAAAATCACAATTTTTCTATAAAAAATAAAATGCAATATATTATAAATTTTAGGCTGACAGCTAATAAATACTTGGCACCTCAAATACTGTGGTTTATTCATGCTTTATATTTTATTACTACAGAGCCAAAAGTGTTTGTGTTAAATATTAAAGTCTTCAACTAGAATAACCAATAGGTTAGAAAGCATGCAAATCCATAAACAATTCAACCCTGAGACCACAGAGCTAACTTTTTATAAAGGATGTGGGCAACCTCTAGAAAGCGAAAATTTAGTAACTTCCAGTTTTTAGAATTCTTTTTTAAAATCTGTTTTATGTCCCAATCTCCTCCTCATTTTCCTTGATTTGCTACTGTGTAGTCAGGTTTACCACATTTCTAATCCAGAAAGACCCTAATCCACAATTCTGTAGAAGTTATAATCTCACACTTTATTCCTGGTATGGCTTATGTCATGTTACATGCTAGGATGAGTTGCAGCCTATGGTTGAATTTCTTTTTTTCACTCAAAACTGCTTGTGAGTAAATGACGAGAGTTCCTTTTGCTTTTTCATAAGTACTTACAAAGGTAGACTTAGGAAGAAGGATGCAGCAGTATTGGTGTACCGGTAAGTGGGGAGTCCTGACTGAAAGGCTCTGATTGAAAAGCTGGGATGGGTGACATCTCATTTTCCTGGTCATCGTCAGTCTTGTACTAATTGTGAAACCACATAGAACAAGAATGAACATGTTGTTCCAGTGGAAATATAGCTAACTCTTATATGATTAAATGATTTCCCCCAGAGTCAGTTTTAAGAACCTTTCTTCTGTTGAAAACTTGTTTCTAATTGGACATGATTGGGAGGGGAGGGGTTGTGGCAAAACCACGGAAATGGCTTCTCTTAGACTATATCCAATTCTGTTATCCACTGAGGTCTTCTTCCCTCCCCTCCCCCCAATACATTCCTTCGGAGTTTCATTTCCACCCAGTGGTGAGACCCTCGTCACTTATGGGGGTTTTGAATATTGGAAGGTCATCACTGCAGCAAGAGGGGAGGGGACTGGAGGCATCTGTTCTGTTGCGTTTCTGCAGGTGGGTGTTTGGTTTGCCACTCCAGTCCCTGCTGCTGCTGATTCATTCCCATCTCCTCGTAGGAGCATATGGTTCTGAATTTGGACAGGAATGATTTTTACCATTATAGTTGCAGTGTGAGATCTCCATTTGGGAAGGAGAGTAAATTGGTTACTTATATCTTTATTGATGTGACCAGTGTATTAGCTCATTCACAGTAAAGTGGGCAAGAGAGGAAATGAATTTCACATATTTATTACTTTTTCTGCTACTTGTTAGTGGCTCTCCCAGAAATATTTTATGAGAAAGAAGATTGAAGTTGTTATGGACAATAACCCAGAATAGGCTCTTGTCCTTAACACTTTGATTAGATGTTTTTATTTTTCTTACTCAATTCAATCTTTGGTGGTCTTCCACCCACCCCCGAACTATTCAGATGAAATTTAAAAAATTTTGCTTTCTTATGTTTGGTGAATGGCCTCATATAGCCCCTGCTGGGGTAGTTTTGCTTGAAATCTGTTGAAAGGACGCAGATGGAGGATATTTTCTGGAGGGTATTTGAAAAACAGATAAAAAAATGGCAGTAGAGAGGAATACTTTGTTTTGTCTGCTCAATCATGAGGATTTAGGTGTGTAACTTAGTAGGTGTCTGTTCGTAGTGCTGCTGCTTCTGGAAGGGTGAGCATCCAGGCCTGTGTTGATGAGCCTCTTTCTTAAACCTCCCAGGTTCTCCTGCGCTGCCCAACAGCATGGTATATTTCGGAAGCTCTCAGGACGAGGAGGACGTTGAGGAGGAAGATGATGAGACAGAAGACGTCAAGACAGCCACCAACAATGCTTCATCTTCATGCCAGTCAACCCCCAGGAAAGGAAAAACCCACAAGCACGTCCACAATGGGCACGGTAGGATTAGTGTGGATTTTGAGTTTTTAAAAAAGAAAAGAAAAAAAAAAAAAAGATAAAGCCCTGGCTGGTGTGGCTCAGTTGGTTGAATGCCCCGTGCACGAAAAAGTCACCAGTTGGATTCCTGGTCAGAGCATATGCCGGGGTTTCAGGCTTGATACCCAGAAGGCAGCAGTCGATCATTGTTTTTCACATCAATGTTTCTCTCCCTCTCACTTCCTCTCTCTCTCTCTCAAATCAATGAAAACATATATTTTAAAAAATAAAATCCAAAGCTTTGGGTGACAGAGCTGGAACAGGTCGTCTGTTAAGAAGATGAGATGATGACAGCTTGTCAGTGGTAAAACTAGTTCTGTATACTTCTCTAAGTGTATGACACTCTAAGGGTGAAGAGATTAGTATTATGTGGTAGAGGCAAGTCTATTCTAGATGAGTAGATTTTCAAGATGAGTATAGATACTGTTATATTGTGGAGATGATGATAAATTCCCTAAGAGCTGCAGATACTAGGAATCAGAAGAGATTCCATCTAATCAGGAGGGTTAAGAAGGTTTCATGAAGAAAGTTTTGTGATTAACTTACTGTGATTTCAGCAGATGGGGTTAGTTTAGAAAGGAAACCATTATTCAGCCTATGAAATCAGGTAAATGCAAATATATTATGAACTAGACTGATTTTTTTCCTAGAATGTTATAGAAGGAGTAGGATAAAAGGTTGGATCTCTGAGAGAGGAAACTATTTAAGTTGGCTTAAGTAGAAAGTGCCTAGTGATTTTTCAGCAGGGAAGTGACTTAATTGGAGATGTGTTGTGAAGAGATTAAGCTGGCATTGATTATGAGGATTAAGTAAAGGGAAGTGACCTGAAGAAAAGGAAACATATTGGAAGGCTGTAATTGTAGGCAATGACCTAGTCAGAGGTAACGAGGGGCTAAAAGTTGGTCATGGCAATAAAAATAACAGGGATATCAGTACAAAAATGAGGAGGCACAGATGGAAATATGGCCGGGTGGTGTTGAGAGGACTTGATAGAGAACTGAATTAGCATGGGGTGGGGGAAAGAAAGTAAGAAAAGCAGATTGAAGCAATGACAGTGGGGTAGGAGCTCTGATGGCTGTTTTCTCTGGAGCTCCTATCTGGAACTCTGCTAGACATTGTATTTCACGTAGGACTCAAGAAACCCTGTGAGGTAGGGAGCCTTGTGTACAATTGGTGGAAAGTTACTGCTACCATTAGTTATTGAAGGAAAGAAATGTTTCTCATTTTTCTCTACACTGTGCACAGTGCACCAGGTGTCTTTCTGGACTCAATGAGAAATAGAGGTCCGAGACAAGCATAGCTTAGACATGCTGGAAATCTGTCTGCCTCTCATTATTGTTGGGCTTCTCTACTTTGTCAATTTAATGATTGTTCATCTTTTCCACTTCTTGCTTATGCCTGTTTTTTTTAAATGGTCTATAAACATGGTAAAGATGAGACCCACGTCTTAAAGATTTAGAGTTTAGTTGGGGCAATGTGGTTAATAATCCCAGAGCATAAATAAAAAGTGGCGACTTATTTTTAACCTTTCAGGAAAAATTTTTGGTTGTGTTCAATATTTTTTTGTTTATTTTTGATTTGAGGGAGAGCAAGAAACAATCGATTTGTTGTTCCACTTATTTATGCATTTGTTGGTTGTTTCTGTCTTTAAAAATATTTTTTAAAGAATAGTTTATTGATTTTCACAGAGAGGAAGGGAGAAGGAGAGAGAGAAACATTGATTGGAGAGAGCAACATCGATCTGCTGCCTCCTGCATGCCCCCTACTGGGGATCAAGCCCACAACCCAGGCATGTGACCTTGACCTTAAATCGAACAGGCAGCCTCCTGGTGCACAGGATGATGCCAGTTCTGACTTATGTGTGCCCTAACTGGGAATCAAACCCTCAACCTTGGCATATGGGGACAATGCTCTAACCAACCGAGCTACCTGGCCAGGGTCAGGATAAAGTTTTTTATCTGCAGTATGGTCACCAAGAAATCTTGATAGTTGAAGGAGCTGTATACCTGATTTGGAATACAGATACAGGTGTAGAGATGACCCGTGAAATTCCACATAAACTGGAATATTACCTAGTTGTGGAATGGTGGCACATTGACCACCAGTTTGAGGGTCCACTTCGGGATAACTGGGAACCACAGGGTAGCGTTGAGAACATACGCCCTGCTAGTCAGGAGGAAGAATTCAGATATAGAGAATAGGGAGCTGCTGCTGATTTTAGATGTGGCAATAAGATGAAACAGATCAGGGTCAGAATGATTCCTCCAGCAGCAGGGTTTAGTCTGAAGAGAAAGGAGAGAAGAGGAGAGTTCAAGGATTCCAGCCAGGAAACAGCCGCTGAGAGGCTGGACTGGAGAACATACAGCAATGCAGAAGAGTGCAAGGGGCATTTTGAAGCAGAAATAGTAAGCTTTTCACAACTGTCTGAAGAGGCAGGGTTGAAGGTAATAGAACAGGAATTGGGAAGGGAGTTGATTTGGCGGGAGTTAAGAACTTTATTATCTGTTGAGCTTGGGGTGATGGTGAAAGACAGAAGAACTACAGAGAACAGATGGACTTTATTATTGTGGAGCTGCTGGTTGAAGCTGTCAGGATGGATGAGCTTCCTGAGATAGAATGAAGCAAGAGGGAGACTTGTAGAGGTTTATTTTTAAAGTAAATCTTGAGAAAGTATTTAATCTTGTAGTTTTACTTTTTTGGTTTAATATGAATCAAGAGTAGTAAATATGAACAAAACAGGAAGTTAGACTCCTATCTGTTAGTCTGTGTCCATGTAGTAGACATGTATTTCATCAGTTTTGTGTGATGTTCCCTCATTCTCTGCCTGTGGTTGGGCTGGTGAACCCCCAGTCATGGTAATCAGGTGAAGCAGTCCCCTGTGTGCTGTGCAGTTGCGGTTAGGTCCTCAGCTCCCTTTTTTTTTTTTTTTTTTTTTTAAATATATTTTATTGATTTTTCACAGAGAGGAAGGGAGAGAGATAGAGAGTCAGAAACATCGATGAGAGAGAAACATCGACCAGCTGCCTCCTGCACACTCCCCACTGGGGATGTGCCCGCAACCAAGATACATGCCCTCAACCGGAATCGAACCTGGGACCCTTCAGTCCGCAGGCCGACGCTCCATCCACTGAGCCAAACCGGTTTGGCTACAGCTCCCTTTTTACACATTATTTGAGCTGCTGGTTGACTAGACAATTTTCTCTTAGATTCAACTTCCAGTGTCAAAAATTACCATCTTTTGTGTGTGTGGATATTCTTTTCTTATCTTTTTACATGAGCTGCAGGTTTACGATGTGAAGTGGCAGTGAGTTTCTGCAAGCAAATCACAGGGAGTTACGTGAAGGTGGTGGGATGAGGGTGAAGGAACTGGCTGAATTCTCAACTAAGGCAGGAGGATAACAATTTTACATTGACCACTGTCATTGTCATAAATAGAGAACAAACATGGGCAGTGGTTCCCATGACAGCTAGAAGTTGTGGGTTTTGTTTGTTTGTTTTGCTTTGCTTTTGCTGAGTCCCATTTCTTTGTAAATGTAGAGCAGAAGTCCTTGAAATTCCTTGTTATGGTAACCATCCTATCTAATAAAAGAGTAATATGCAAATTAACTGTCACTCTGACACAAAGATGGCGGTGCCCATAGCCCCAAGATGGCGGCACCCAGTCCTCTCAGCCCCGCTGGAGTCCTCCAGTCCTGGGGAGTGGCCGCTGAGAGCAGGGCCTGCTTGGTTGTTGTCCGTGGCGACCCGGGAGCGGCCAAGCGGGCCCCATAGACAGCAGAGAACCACGGGGAGCGGGCCTAAGCCATCAGTAGGACATCCCCGAGGGTTCCCGGATTGGAGAGGGTGCAGGTCAGGCTGAGGGACCCCCCCCCCCCCCCCCCCCTCCCGCACGAATTTTGTGCACTGGGCCTCTAGTCTATATATATAAAAGGCTAAGAGGGAAAGTGTCCCCTTGGGAGTTCGACCCGGAGAATGGGAGTTCAATCGCTTGCTATGATGTGTGCTGACCACCAAGGGGCAGTGTGGAACATGGTGGGCATCGGCGACACGTTGCGACCTCTCCCCAGCTACCTGGGGTCGGGGGTAATGGGGATGGAGGTGAGGTGAGAATGCAGGGTGTCCGCTGAGCTGGCTCTGACTCCCCCTGCTACCCAGGGCTCACACACCAGGGAAGCCCTCGTGCTCAGGTGCTGGGTGGCCATTATGAGCCCGGGCTGCAGCTGCCGAGACCACAGGGGCCGGTCTATGAGGCCAGCCAGGAGAGAGCACACTACTCGCCTAGCTTCTGTACAGCGCTGCTGGGTGGCCCAGAGGCCCACTGAGTCCGGCCGCACTCACCGCATCTCCGTGTGGGGACTCGGGCACCGTGACTCAGGCGGAGGGGGGCGTGTGGGGGCCCAGGTACAGCCCAGGGCCCAGCGGTTAGATGGGACCTGCCTTTCCACACCAGACGCTCACGCTCGCATTTCAATCGCCGGCCAGGCCCAGGGACCGCACCCATGCATGAATTTCATGCACCGGGCCTCTAGTGAGTTATAAAACAGGATGTTTGTTTAAATGTGATGTATGATGACAGAATGAAACAGATAACTGCTAGAGAGGGTTCATTTGTGATGGGAAGTTCTCGGTGGAAGTACAGAAGGGGTTTACCTGGCATTAGACCAGTTCTTTCAACTTTAAAGAAAGCAGATAGATGGTAGATGATTTTGCATATGAAAAACATGTTAGACCCAGGCTTACCCAGGACTTGCTCTAGCCAACTTGTTTGTTCTGTCTGGGGTTCAGAAGAGGCTGCCTTCATGTTTAGAAAATTGAACCTTTCCTCAGTTTCTGAGAGCACCTGCTGAGCTTCAAGCTTGGTGAGACTTGCAAGGTGCTGATGCCTAATTGCCTAATGAACATGGGCTGGTGTCAGAGTGCACCCAAGTCGCGCACATGAGCAGTTGGACGTGCCACTGCCCAGAATGCATTAGAAGGCCCAGAGTGAGATACCGGCCACATCAGGTGAACCATGATGCTCTTATCCTGCATCTTGTGCTGCTTCTACTTCTCACTGCCATTCTCTTATTTGAGGGATTGCCTGATGAGCATTGGCACCATTTTTGAGTTTTCTGCCTGTGAGGAAAGAAAAGGTGGGGCCCAGTTTGTGAATGAGATAAGGGCTGGGCTCTTCCTTTCTCTGCCATGCCTAATTTTCCAAAAAGTAAAACCTAGAGACCATCTCCATTTACTTTTGATTTCTGATCTAGGTAAAGAATGTACAAGTGTTAAAGTAGATTTTCTAACAAGAATAACCTGCATGAGGGCATAATAATTGTGTGGTGTCAAGCAGGGCCTCAGAATTGTTGACTCTTCACACAGGAAAGTGCAGAGCAAGCTGCTGTTGCTGTTTTGTGTTTCTCTTGGTGTTTTTCCTTACTTTGTATGCCAGGGGTGTTGAGTCATGTTAGAAAGTTTAACAACATCTGTATTCTCTCCCAGGAGGATCCCCCTCACTGAAATGTGGGGAAAGAAATGCAGAGTCCAGCTGCAGTGGCTCAGTGGTTGAGCGTCGAACTATGAACCAGGAGGTCATGGTTCAATTCCGGGTCAGGGCTCGTGCCCGGGTCGCGGTCTCAATCCCCAGTGGGGGCCATGCAGGAGGCAGCCAATGATTCTCTCTCATCATTGATGTTTCTATCTCTCTCTTCCTCTCTGAAATCAATTTTATATATATATTTCTCACAGAAAACAAAATATGGAAAACTTAACACTATTACTGGGCAGCTCTGGCTAGAAACCCTGATTGGGCCACATTTCTGGGAGAACAGTTTTATGTAGGCTGTGTAAATCTGAAGACACTAGAAACCACAGTGCTGATTGTGTCGTACTTTATCTTGTTTGTCCCCAAAACTTGAAGCCTAGTGAAGCAGCAGGGGTTCCCTTGGGATCAGGAGCCAGAAGCAAACACACTCCAGCTCACCCTGTTTCCTGCCATATCTCGTGGGCCTGTCTGGGACAGCACTTCACTTCCTTGAGTAGAAGCCTGATCCAGTAGTCTCCTGCAAGAGCCTGCTGTCCACAGGCAGATGTTGAATTTTGCAAACATTACATAGGACTCTGATGTTCTCATTTATAATCTACTGAACATCCTAATGGAAATGAACTTGTTTATTAAAATTCATAATCTAAAGTGACAAGGACAGCATCACCTGGCTTTTAAGCCTTGGGTTCACACTTAGATGTTACAGTAAGAAGGCCCCCAGCAACTTCTGTTTCAGCAGCTCTTCAAAGTTTCCAAAATACTCTTCATATACAGTCTCAGGTGATCATAAGGACAGAGCTCTTTGGGGAGGTAATTATTATCTGGAACAAAACAACATGCAAAACAGTTTTGTAGTATTTATGTCAGAAGTTGGTATTTGAAATGGCTTAGTTTTTGCAAAGTTCTCATAATTGGTTATTTTTCCCAGTAGGATAAGTGTGGTAGAGCAGAGGAAATAATACACTTGTTTGGAATGAACTTGGCTTTGTGTTTTCCTCAGTGTTGTCACTGTGGTGAGGCGTTTGTCACCCTTTGCAGAAAGAACTCGGTGAAAGTTCATTGCTCACATTAGCCACGTATTGTATATTCTTCAAATGCTTTTCTGCACTTAGGAGAAATAGAAGTGGTGGCAGAGACCATTGTTCCTTTGTATGCTCATCCCATTGTGAACAGGGGCATTTCTCCGAAGACTCTTTAAACAACATGACATTAGATTCCCAGCTGGAATGATTTAATTGCTTTTGGATTCACATGGAGGCATGTTGTGTGAGGGACAGAAAGCAGTCATTTTGGGCTGAGTTGACCACATTTATGCTCCGTGGTGGCCTCCAAGGTGCCCCTCTCTGGGTGGTGGAGGGGTGGCTGTACAGGACCAAGGTCCCAGCTTAGCTGCCCAGTAAGATGCTCTCTAGCTGACAGATGCTTTTTTCTTCATTGACACTTTCATGGAATATCCTCTTGCCTTTCTTTAACCTCTGGCAGCTCCTTTGTTTTGTTTTGTTTTGTTTTGTTGTTATTGTTTTCCTGTTGAGCTGAGTGACTATTTTAAACAGTTGGAATATGGGCTGGGAGTTTGTTTTTGAGAGTACAGTCCATGGAGAGTCAGGTTATAAAGTAT